GAATACAGACAGGAGCAGGGGGGGTATACAGACAGGAGCAGAGGGGGTATACAGATAGGAGCAGAGGGGGAATACAGACAGGAGCAGAGGGGGATTACAGATAGGAGCAGAGGGGAAATACAGACAGGAGCAGAGGGGGAATACAGACAGGAGCAGAGGGGGAATACAGACAGGAGCAGAGGGGGAATACAGACAGGAGCAGAGCGTGAATATAGACAGGAAGACACGAAGACAGACAGTGTTCTGCAAGGTCCCAATGCTGTTCATCATTTACATTAACAACTTGCACATTGGAATTAAAAAAAAATGTAATTTTTAGATTTGTGAATGACTCACCAAGTTGGAGTAGGATATTGATTCAATATAATGGAGGCAGACAACAAATTACAGGACAACATTAATAAACTTGCAGAACGGGTAAAGGCTGATCAACAGAGAGGAATGTTTTGATAGGTGAAAAATGAAGTGGTCACCTTTAGTTTGAAAGTGGGGCAGAGCAACAAAGGAATTTTTTTTCACAAAGTGGCACATGGCTATGCTGGTTTGACTAGTATTTATTGGACTGTCCCTAGTTGCCCCCTTGAGAAGGTGGGCGTGAGCTGCCTTCTTGAACTGCTGCAGTCCCTGTGCTGTAGGTAAACCTACAATGCCTTTAGGGAGGGAGTTCCAAGATTTTGACCCAGCGACAGTGAGGGAACGGTGATATATTTCCAAGTCAGGATTGTGAGTGGCCTGGAGGGGAACCTGGAGGAGGGCAAATACATCAAAAGTTGCACAACAGTTGTGCAAAAAATGTTTTTAAAAACTTGCAAATCCATAAAAGAAAGTACACCAAACAATTTTTCTAGAGGGAAATAACTGAAACGTTGCGAATTATGGTAAACCTGTATTGAAACTTGCATGCAATCAGAGTACTGTGTATGGCTCGGGTTGCTATGTTACAAACAGAATACAGAAGCACTGGAGAGTGTACTGAGAAGGATGGTACCAGAAGTATATTGGCTTTAATATCAGGAAAAGAATATAGGGTAGGTTTTGTCATGAAAAATAATGAACGCTTCCTGTGAATAAACCATGTGAAACACTCAAACGATCCCCACTTCCTCAGAAACAAAAATAGAAATTGCTGGAAAAGCTCAGCAGGTCTGGCAGCATCTATGGAGAGAAATCAGAGTTAACGTTACAGGTTGAGTGACCCTTCCTCAGAAACCCATTTCCTCAGGTTGCATGCATTTGTTACACCCTGATTAGTTGCAGTTTCAGAGGGGATGAGGAGGAATGAACAAGTTTTGTTCATCAGTCCCCCCCACCACAGTTGATTACAACAAAATGAATTTAAAGTGGACAGCTTTCTCACAGATTCAAATGTACTCTTGTTTTCTAAAGAACCAATTTGACGAGGATTTCTTGAATTAACGAGAAGGAAGAGCTTATGGATCGTTAAATGTGAGGAGAATTATTAAGACAACACAAATTAGAAGTAAGAGATGGGGCAATGAAAATAAAACTTAAAAACACAGATATACAGATCAGTCTGTGAATTGTTTGTACAGAGCAGACAGGTGAAGATTGCCGCCATTGCAATGAAGATCACTGTAATGTTGATGTTGATTGTCTAACAGCTGGTTTCACGATTCTCAGTTTTGATCTTCAGCGTTAAAAAGATTTGTACAGAATCATTGACAACAAGGTGCAGGGCTGGATGAACACAGCAGGCCAAGCAGCATCATAGGAGCAGAGAGGCTGACGTTTCGGGCCTAGACCCTTCATCAGAAAAGGGGGAGGGGAAGGGGGTTTTGAAATAAATAGGGAGAGAGTGGGAGGCGGATAGAAGAGGGATAGAGGAGAGGATAGGTGGAGAGGAAACAAACAGGTCGAAGAGGCGGGGATGGGGCCAGGAAACGTGAGTGTAGGTAGGGAGTTAGGGAGGGGATAGGTCAGTCCAGGGAGGACGGACAGGTCAAGGGGGCGGGATGAGGTTGGTCGGTAGGAGATGGAGGTGCGGCTTGAGGTGGGAGGAGG